ATATTTAAGCTTAAAGTCAAGAAAACTTTTACTTAGAAAAAATTTGTCCCTTTTCTATTGACTCCCCCCCATATGTTTAAAAAATTATTTTACCTTAAATTAATAAGTAATAAGCAAATTATAATGTATCAATATTTATGTTTATAAATTTTTCATTTTACAAAAATCTCTAATTAGTTTGACATTATGATAATCTTCTATTTATGCTTTAGAACAAGAATTATGTTTAGGACATTATATTAATCTTATCTATAGAAATATGATTTTTGTAGTTTAACTATATTCTATTAGTTATGATTTCTATTTTTTTTCAATAAGATATTTATACTCTTGTAAGCTTTATTAATTTGCATAATCATAATTTGCCACTCAACATAATAACATATGGTATAACAAAATACTTAAGAGAAAAAAATACACTACTTTTGTAAACAATTTTATTACTTTAAGATTCATTTAACATTTTTCAAAATTTATTTTCCTGTAATGAGTTTTTATCAAAGATACCTGCTGAATCATTAATAAGGTTTAGATTTTGAAAATATTCTCTAGCATAATCCATGTGTTGAACAGTAGGACACAAATAATAAACTCTTTTTTCACTAACAAATATTTTCACAAAAGTTAATATAAGAACTTCTTTGGCTTTATCTAATGGCAAAAAAATGATAAATACTACAAAATACAAAAAATAACAAGATATTGTCTGGTATATAAATGATCCTTTAAGATTTTTTTGAAAACAGATTTAGCTATTTCTTTAGATTGACTGTCTGTTTGTAATAAAGCTGCTATTTGACTATCATTATTAATAATAACTTTAAGAGTTTGTTAAATTTTTGAAACTTCAAAGTAAAATACCAAGTTATTTGGTGCTTTTGCACAAATAAATTGCACCTGCAAGTCTCTTTGTTCTATGTTAAAAGTTTTTTTTTTTTTTTTTTTAAGAGAGGTCTTTCCTTTATTCACTTTATTATAAATATTATTTTTTTTTTTTGTACTAATTCGGCAGTCATGCCTTAACTTTATTAGGTTTGTAATAATCCTCTAGACTATTAAAAATTTTAGAGAGACTTATCGGTGAGTGATAAACTCTGAAATTGTCGGCAGA